CCACCCCTGAGCCACTCCACCCCCTGACGTCGCCCCTGGCTCCCCCCCGCGTCCGCATCCTTCCCCGCTCGCCCCCCAGCGAGGATCGAGCTCTGCTGTTTTGGAGCGTTTCGGCTTCCCTTTGGGCCTCCGCGAGGCCTGCACGAGGGAGGAAGGGAAATGGGTAGCGGGGCGGATAGGATCGATCGTAACTAATGCCTCCCGTCCACCCTTGACGCCGCTGCCGACCGTGTTGAAGATGTGCCCCGTCACTCCTGCCTGTGGGGAGGCTTCGCAAAACACATGGGCAACGCCACGAGTAGCAAACCTCAAATCCCCTTCCTCGTCCTTAGAATCCCCCCGCCCCCTTGGGGGCTGCGAAACTCCCTGCTCGTATGCTGTTTTGCTGGTAACTCCTGTCTTCTCCTTCTTTATCATTTCGGACGCCTCTAGCCACACCGTGACAAGCCTCTACACGAGAGTTGAATGTTAAACATTGTGCTGAACTCTGCCGTGCTTTGCTTTGAAACCCTGGTGGATAAACTGGGATATCGAGACAAAGGCGTCCTTCAAGGCCATGGTCTCTGCAGTGAAATATTCAACCGCCTGGTTAATTTTCAAGTGCCGCTCATTGTGTCAAGTGCCCTATCTTCCCTCTCCCCTCTGCCTCTTGCTTCCTCGCCTCGTGCGTCTTCTCTCCTTCTGTTGTCTAAAGGCGGGAGGGGGCGCCCCCCTTGGGACGCAGAAGGGCGCACTAGCTGCTGGCACGCTGCGCCTCCGAACCGAACCTGTAGCAGACACACCTTCTTGCATCTCGCTACCTGGACGGCACAGCCAGAAGGCGCCCGCCACCGAACATGTACGACCCCCCCCGGCTGCCATGTACGTGAGGACGTCGCTAGACGACCAGAAGGGCCCAAGATGCCTCCAGGGATAAAGGCGGCGGAAGGTCGCCCCCCCGTATGCCCTCAGATGGCAGAAAGAGGGTCATGTGTTTTTTGCCTGCACCAGGTTAGCGTCAAGACGAACCCCCGAGCTCCCAATATTACTCAAGACGGCCCTCATGATCCCCCTGCAGGCTCAAAGATGCCGCCAGGATCGCCCAGGAAGGCCCAAGAAGGCCCCGCGCCCCGCGACGGCTCCAAAATGCTACCAAAATGAGCCCCAGAGGACCAGAGATAGCCGCAGCGCCGCCCAACATTGTCCCAAGCGTGCGTCAGAGGCCCCAAGAGGCCCCCAGATTGCCCGACGAGCCGCCGAGGAGGCCCGCCCAAGTACCCCTGCACGCACAGCCGCAGCATTGCTCAGCCTGGGGGGCCAGCGGCAGATAGCGCAGACCTTCAGATGGGAATGCCAGGAGCGTCGAACGCCTCCAGCAAGGGCCCAGGCGCCCTCAGACGAGCCAAAGGAAACATTCGAAACTCAACCCGCCCGTGCCATACGCAAGGAGTCCTCAAGGCGACCTCAACAAGCCGCAGTATCAGTCGCCAAACTTCCAGGGAGCGGCCGGGGATGCGCCGCCAGCGTTCTTGATGAGAATTTCAGAAGCGTCGGATTTACATGGATACCTTGAGGTGCTCCTAGGCCTGGCTGCAACGACATTTCCAAGTGGCCATCTGCCTGAAGGGTGCTCTCTTGCTCTGGGCGTCGGCTGCATGCTAAGTCGGAAACTGGAACAGATACATTACCAGTGGCGTGCTGTTTTTCAGTCCCAGGACTTTGTGAGGGTCGGGGACGACGCTGGGGTGATGTGGTGTATACTTGTTTCCCCGATGTCCAGTGGAAACAACTAAAAATGTATACACCAGGGTCCCGTACACACCAGGATCCGCTCTCCAGTGCAAGTTTAAATGCAAGGCCGGAAAAAAACGTCGGTGTATGGAGTTCGATTCCCTACTAAGTGCTTAGTCGCGAAGCTGCTGGGGAGACCCGCGACAATTATCAAGCATGCGCTCCGCGGTGGCATGCGGCATGCGTCGGACCAGGCAGGATCCATGTAGCAATGGCCACGACGGGGCAAGGCGCCGCCTGCCACTGCTCATCCAGGCCTCTTCCGCTCTACCGTGGATGTAAAGAAGTAGCGCGAAAACAATTCGTGACGTTGGAATTTGCCATTCAAAGGCCACGGGCTCCAGGCTTTCGGCAAGATCTTTGAACATGTATACAATAAACGCGAACCACGGAAACACTTTTTCTCAATCCGTGTTCGGTTACGCTTAGGTTGTGTTCCATCTCTTTGCATGGCGGAATTCAACGTTACGAATGGGTTTCGCGCTAATTCTTTACAGCCACGGTAGTACATGTCCCTTGCGAAAGAGCCCATAACTTTTCAGGTTCATGAGAGCAGCTCTGATGCCAAACCTCCCTTTGGCCCGTTGGGGGTCTGCCGAAAGGCCATCATCCTCTTGACAGGCGTGCCGACAGGAGCGTGGAAATACATTCATACCGGACTTCTTGGACCATACGGTGGACAATCGAAGATGTTGGTGCCATCGTGTTTCTATTCCAGGCGAGGCGGATTGAGATAATCAACGTAAATCCGTTGCTGCACGTCGAGGGCGAGATTTGGGGCAAGTATCCTATAGCCGCATCGGATCTTTTCCTATGGAAGCCCACTTGGTCCGCCACCGTGCCGCTGGGCACGGAGTGGGCGTGTCCTCACGTCCTGGGTCCAATCCCCTGAACCCCAGTCCTCAGTTCTGAACAGTCAATCAGGGGCTTGGACCCCTACTTCCGAAATCTCTTGGGGCTTTTCGAGTGCCCTCTGGGCTCCGGCGTGCCTCCCCGCGTGACCTTTTCGGGCCCACGGGGGCCCCAAGACGGGCCAAGAGGGCCCCAAGAGGCCTCCAAGACGGTCCAAGAGGGACCGAGTCGCCGAACGATCGCGCTGCAAGACGCTCAATCTGGCCCCCAGACGGCCCAGGAGGCCTCCAAGACGCCACAAGTGGCCTCCAAGAGGCCTCCTAAGAGGGACCCAAGAGGCACAACTCATGTACTTTCCGCGGCTTTGGGTAGGTTTTGGGCTTCCTCGCCTTTTCGGCTTCCCGACGCTCCAAGACGGCCCAAAAGGCCCCCAAGATCGCCTTAAGACGGCCCCAGAAGCCACGATGATGGTCCCAAAACGGCCCAAGAGGGCTCCAAGACGGCCCAAGAGGCGCCCAACACGGCCCAAGAGAGCCCCAAGACGGCCCCAAAGGGGGCCCAAGAGAGGGGAACACGAACCGAACATCCGAGTTTTCTGCCCCATGAGGCCCCCTGGAGGTCCCCAGAGCCGCCCAGGAGGCCCCGAAAGGCCTCCAATAGACCCCCAGGAGGCCCCAGGAGGCACGCAAAATGTCCTAAAGAGGCCCGCGAGAGGCCGCAAAACGGCCCCGAGGAGGTATCAAAACTGCCTCCACGAGGCCCCCAAGAGGCCCCAACGAGATCCCAACGAACATCCAATATGTTTCATACCAGCAGCCCAGACACGGTGACAGGATGGGCCGAAGGCCATTAGATGATGACTAACTATCCTAGCAAGGCACCCGAATATATATATATATATATATATATAGTATATATTTATATATATATATATATATATATATCACGATGATGAGATTCCTGTGCCCTTAATGTGAAAAATTGGGACGTGGGCCAGGATGTGGAACTGCAAATAATCGCATGCCCCTGCAGCACGTTTTGAACCTGGGAGACTTGGAAGGGTGACTCCGACGCCCCTGACGTGCCCTTTTGACCTCGGAGCCTTGAACCAATGGGAAGCCGATGCCCTTGCCACATTTCCGAGACCCTGGGAGCTTGGAATGCCGAGGACCGTGTGCCCGTGCTGCGCTCCCTGGACCTGGGACGCCCGGAACGGTGGGTATGCGAAGCCCCTGCCGGAATCTCTGGACTTGGGGGGGGGAACTGGGCACGGTGGACATCCGAGGCTTCTCATACTAAACTCCAAACATCGAAGAAGGAATGTTGGCAAGAAGGCCTGGAAGCCCGTAAGGGACGCGCCCGAGGGCACTTGAAGCATGGACGGCAACTGCGGAGTTCATCTGAGAGCGGAAGAGACGTGGGATAATGGAGTGCACCAGCAGGATTGGAGCTAGCACGCTCCCGGAGGCTGGCCTGAATCGAAACCACAAGTCTGTCTGATAGGCGAAGCCGCAAACAATTGCATTGCAATCGCTTGTGGTCGGAACGGTTGCACTACAAATGTTGGTGGCTTTAACGGTTGCAATGCAATGGTTTGTCGCTTGTGTCGTTGCAGCGCAATCGCCTGTGCAACGCGCATGCCCGGTGAGTTGTGGCGCACCGTTGCCAAACCACAAGCGGTTGCGCTCATCGGGGTCGCCATTTCGCGGTACTCTCTACAGATGGCGCTATCGTCCGCGTGCCATGGTGTGGCTGGTCGCCTCTCGAAGCTGCAACCGTTCGGCAGGTCCAACGCTGCAATTTCGTTGGCCGCCAGATTCGCCAAAAGCACGTTGAAAGCGTGCCGGCGTGTCGATCGCCACGCGGTATCTGTTCGTACGTTGTTCCATGCGAGCGCGTGCGTTTCAGCCCTGCGAGTCGACAACTCAGTGGCTCAACGCGTTTACCTGCAGTCCCTGCGGCCGCGGAAGCATCGTGCCGTGTTCTGAGCAGTGGCGATGCCATCGAGCAAGCTCTGAGCATTTGCGCAGCACGTTGCGAAAGACAATTGCGCTGCTGGGCCCTTTCAACTTTCTCCCGACCATTTAGCTAAAAACCCTTCAGCGTTCTCTAGACTTACACAATCTGGACCAGCGAACTCTGGAATGGTGAATGATGTGCCTCCGTCTCGCTTCGTGGACCTTGGATTGACGAAGCGAAAGCGCCATAAACATAAACGTGTGGCGCTCCTCGCGTATTTCTTGGATCCGCGCTGGACCCCCCTCCCTGGCGCGCTCCGCGCGCAAGAGGCGGCGCCAGAGGCGCTGCCGGCGGAGATCCGACGCAGATCCAATTAGCAAAACGTGGTTTAGTGAAAACGACCTCGGGCCCAAACCTGGCGGGCTCATTCCTGGAAAATATCGGCCGCGGCGCCCCCTCGAGAACGGAAAACGGACAATCCACTAATCGACGTGTCAGGATGGGGGTTCTGTCCACCCCCGAGTCTTGGGGAACCACCGTTGTCGGTACAGGCGGGGCTGCTTGGAGAGGGCAAGCGAGAGGACACCAGACCCTCTCGAGGGCCACGCTGCCGCAGGAGTGCAGAAGGCATGGGTCGGGAAACACAAGGCACAAAAGTACCCTTGATTTGGCAGGGCCGACCTGCTGATCAGCCCCGCCTGTACCCGAGACGCACCATTCTCGACCAGGTGCGCACGGAGAGCGCCTGGGATGGTCCTGGGGCCCGCGATCTTCTGCACCTGGGGCGCACCACTTCGAGCAAGAACGCTTGGAATGCACCTGGAGCTGTCCTGAGACGCGCCATTGTCTGGACCTGGGACGTACCGTCATCGAACAAGCGCTCGTGGAATGCACCTGGAACGGTCTTGGGGCAGACCATTGCCTGGATCTGGGACAGAACATCCCCGAGCGGGCACGAGGGAATGGCCCGCGCCAGGAATCTGCGACGTCAGCGTCTAACCTCGCGGGGAACGATTCCTTGACCTCTTGCACAACCCATCAAAGACGAAAGCAGACAAAAAACGGTATGGTTGGTGGACATCCCCGACGACGCAGCGATAGGAGGGAGTGACCCCAGGGAGCGAGCAGACCGCTGGCTCGGGCCCGTGGGCCTCCGAGGACACAACGATGGAGTGAGTGAGTGGATGTGAGGAGGACCAGCTCTGGCCCTACGAGCCTCCCCTGCGATGCCGCGAGGAACCGAACCCGAGGGAACTGGGACCCCGTATGCGTGTTTTCTCTTCTTCTCCTCATCTGAACATCAACACGGGCCCTCTCGCACTCGCTGCCTGGAGAAGCCCTCTGTACGGGGGCGCATTCATCTGCCCGGCACAGGCTGCCTGGCACCTCAGGGCCGAAGCGTCCCCCAGCTAGTCCGTCCTCCGTCTGCCCTCGTACCTCTCCCTCGTCCTGTTCCTGGTCCGAAGCCCCCCTGGCTCCTGATCCTCCATCATCTTCATGGCTGCGTGTGTACACAACAGGATGCCACCGAGATTCACCTTGACAACGGCCTCGATAGTCTCGGCTGGAATTTCCGAGAACTTGCGTCGCCCACCGTTGATTCCCGCGTTGTTGATCCAGTAGTGCACGACCCCGACTTTGCTCTTCACGAACTCCACGAACTCGTTGATGCTCTGGAGGCTCGAAACGTCGCAGATGGCACCATAGATGGAGCCGTTGGGGTGCTTGGCCTTCAGGGTGCCGACCGCGCTGGAAGGGTCTTTTACGTCGCAGATCACGACGCGGTGGCCGCGCTTCAGGAACTCGTCCGCGTACGCGTAGCCTACAGGAGCGAACAACTGCATAAACATTCCCGTCGATCGGAAGAAGTAGGTAGAACCATGAAGTAGGAAGGCGCTGAAAGTAGATTGGGTGTCCGCCCGCCACCTTGGGAGGAGGGAAGAGGTGAAGCCACTCGATCCTTGTGAAGTAGGAAGGCGTTGAAAGTATATTGGAATCTGGGAAGCCAAGAATACCTGCTTTCAACGACCGGTGGATAACTTCGTGAAGAGGCGCGCAGGACTTCTGGAAGCGGCGCTGGACCCTCCCCCTTCCTGACGGCCAGAGCGCGCCAGGGGGCGGCGCTGGAGGCGACGCCGGCGGGGCCCAGCGCGAATTCCAGGAAACCCGCGCGGGCCTCCGAGAAAGTCTCTTCCTGCCGCCTTTTTAGAGGCCTCCTAGCTGGGGTCCGAGTAGATGGGGTCGGGGGATCTCGCCGCATCGCCGACACGTCGGCGATACATCGCCGATGCATCGGCAGTGCATCGGCCATGCACTGGCGACGTCGGCGATGCATCGGCGACGTCGGCGAGGAGAAAATTGAGCCCCACATCGAGCCGCATCGCTGATGCATCACCGATGCATCAGCGATGCGGCGCGATCCTCCGACCCCATCTACTCCGACCCCATCGAGGAGGCCTAGATTTCTGCTCTCCCAGCAGCCGACGCCGGCCGCCCCGCCGGTGATGACCACGCTGGCGCACACCTCGGAGGCGTCCAAGAAGAGGGGCGTCCAAGAGAGGGGAGGTCGCAGATGATGGCCCGAGGTACGTGCGCGGACCAGAGGGGGGGGGGGAAGGGAACGCACCGAGAAAAGAAGAGGGTGCCATGGCCTCTGGGCGGCATCATGGCCATATGGCCATGAGATCCTCCTCCCCTGAGATCCGACGTCATTGGCGAAACAATTGCAACATCGCGAGAGATCACGCCCGGAGCCCTGGACCCCGCCTCCTTCTGCGCCACTCTTCGAGCCGCATCGACCTGCGAGGGTCCCCGGGCTCGACAAGAGGCGAGGACGCCCGGCTCGACAGAACTGCAGCGCCGGAGTCTCAGGGGCCCCCTGGTCCTCCCCCCCTCCCTCTTGCGGCGGTGGACAGACCTCCCTTCAGTAAACCTCCCCTCCGTGAAAGCGGCCTGGGAGCGAAGCCGACGGACCGGGCGGGACCCGCAAAAATGACAGCCGCGACGCCCTCGCGCGAATCGGAAACGGCCAATTCGCTAATCGACGTGTCAGGGTAGGAGATCTGTCCACCCCCGATCGTGTCCCGGCATTCCTATAGTCCAACCACGACATGTTCCTAGAATCCCAAAAAGTTCCAAGAACAAAAACAATGTCCTTAGAACAGAAGCCCGATGTGACACAACGAGACAGGCTCCGCCAGCAATGTTCCGAGAACATGTCGTGAAGAAACCACACGGGGTTCTCAGGACACTGCTTGGTGGGGCTATAATAGGCGAGCCAAGACGCTTCGCCACTGCTCGGTTTTGGACGCCCGAAATGGGTACGGAAAAAATGGGTACAATGCCCAACAACAAATGTTGTCCCAAACCCACAGCGGCCGCTGTTGGGCAGGTGGCGGCCTTCTGCCTCGAATGGACACAGGCCACGGCGGGCCTGGACAGCGAATCCTGCTCAAAATGCAGGGGAACTGCTGTTGGGCACGGTGCCCCTTCTTGCCGTGCCCATGTCGGGCGTCCAGATCGCTCTTGGGCGCCCCCGCACACCGGGCGGTTGGCGCGCATGGCCACCGCGGCGCCACCCGGCCTGGTCCGGCGCGAGGGCGCCCCGCCGTGGCCTCGCTCGGGGGGGGGGGGGGGGCAGGGCGAGGAGCACGGAAGCGCGCGGCGGGCGCGGCGGCTCGCCGCCAGTCGGGCCTGTCCTCCTGCAGGGGGAGTTTGGGCGACAAATAAAAAACAGTCAAAAATACCCCCCCCCAACAAAAATGGTCGAAAAATACTCCAACCATCGTCCCCGGACTATTGTTCGACTATTTTGGAACATTCCTCCTGCAGAGGGACAGGCCCGACTTCAGGCTCGCAAAGGGCTTCACGACGTTTCTGCCGTCCTTCCGCTCGCGCGCGCTGGAACGGCAACGCCTTGCCCCAGATGTCCAGGGTTAGGTCGGGCCTGTCCTCCTACAGGGGGATTCTGGACGAAAAATTATTCACTGCGTGGGGATCCCCATATGTGCATCTCCTTGCTGGCGCTCCCTTGGTGGTGGGACTCGGTGAGGACGAATCTGGATTTAAGTGTGACTGAGCTGCCTCTCTCTCTCTCTCTCTGCTCTCTCTGTCTCTCTCTCTCTCTCTGCCCTCTCTCTGTCTCTGCCTCTCTTTCCCTGCCTCTCTCTCTCTCTGCCTCTCTCTCTGCCTCTCTCTCTCTGCCTCTCTCTCTCTCTGCCTCTCTCTCTGTGCCTCTCTCTCTCTGCCTCTATCTCTGCCTCTCTCTCTCTCTCTCTCTCTCTCTTCTCTCTATTCTCTCTCTGCTCTCTCCTCTCTCTCTCACTCTCCCTCTCTCTCTCTCTCGCTCTCTCTCTTCTCTTCTCTTCTCTTCTCTTCTCTCTCTCTCTCTCTCTCTCTCTATCTCTCTCTCTCTCTTTCTCTCTCTATCTCTCTCTCTCTCTCTCCCTCGCTCTCTCTCTCTCTCTCTTCTCGCTCTCTCGCTCTCTCTTGCTCTCTCTCGCTCTCTGTCGCTCTCTCTCGCTCTCTCTCTCTCTCTCTCGCTCTCACTCGCTCTCTCTCGCTCTCTCTCGCTCTCCCTCGCTCTCTCCCGCTCTCTCTCTCTCTCTCTCTGCTCTCTCTCTCTCTCTCGTCTCTCGCTCTCTCTCTCTCTCCTCTATCTCTCTCTTCTCTTCTCTTCGCTTCTCTTCTCTCTCTCTCTCTCTTCTCTCTCTCTCTCTCCCCCCCCCTCTCTTTCCACTTTCTCTCTCTCTCTCTCTCCTCTCTCTCTCTCTTCTATATCTATCTCTCTCTCTCTCTTCTCTCTTCTCTCTTCTCTCTCTCTCTCTTCTCTCTTCTCTCTTTCTCTCGCCTGTCTCCTCTCTCAACTCCCCCCCTCTCTCTCTCTCTCCGCTCTCTCTCTCTCTCTCTCCTCTCCCTCTCTCTCGCTTCCTCTCTCTCTCTCTCTTGCTCTCTCTCTCTCTCTCTTCTCTCCTTCTCTCTCTCTCTATCTTCCTCTCTCTCTCTCTCTCTTCCTCGCTCTCTCTCTCTCTCGCTCGCTCGCTCGCTCGCTCTCTCTCTCTCTCTCTCTCGCTCGCGCTCGCGCTCGCGCTCGCGCTCGCGCTCGCGCTCGCGTTCGCGCGCTCTCTCTCTCTCTCTCTCTTTCTCGCTCTCTCCCGCTCTCTCTCTCTCTCTCTCTCTCTCTCTCTCTCTCTCTCTCTCTCTCCTCTCTGCTCTCTTCGCTACTGGCTTCTGACGGAGTCTGGGTTAGGTGAGCCTGAGTGTGGGTGAGTCTGAGTATGGGTACGTCTGTGTGTGCCTGACTCTGAAGAAATGAATCTGAGTGTGAGTGAGCTTGTGTATGAGTGAGTCTGGGTGCGAGTCTGAATCCCAATGGTGCCCCTGGCAGTGTCTGGCGACTAGGAGGCCCGGGTCGACTCCTCTTTGGGAAGCCAAAATGCTGCCCCTGGCAGCGTTTGGTGACTATGAAGCCCCTGGTGGACCCCCCCTGGGGCTCCCAAATGATGCCCCTGGCAGCGTTTTGTGACCATGAGGCTCTCAAGAGATACATGTTGGGGACGCCAAACGGCAATTCTAGCTGAGGCGTCCCACCAAAATCGGCGCGAACGGGCTCGTGAGATCAGCCAGGGTGGCTCCCCCTTGGGGCTCCCAAATGATGCCCCTGGCAGCGTTTTGTGACCATGAGGCTCTCAAGAGATACATGTTGGGGAGGCCAAACGGCAATTCTAGCTGAGACGTCCCACCAAAATCGGCGCGAACGGGCTCGTGAGATCAGCCAGGGTGGCTCCCCCTTGGGGCTCCCAAATGATGCCCCTGGCAGCGTTTTGTGACCATGAGGCTCTCAAGAGATACATGTTGGGGACGCCAAACGGCAATTCTAGCTGAGACGTCCCACCAAAATCGGCGCGAACGGGCTCGTGAGATCAGCCAGGGTGGCTCCCCCTTGGGGCTCCCAAATGATGCCCCTGGCAGCGTTTTGTGACCATGAGGCTCTCAAGAGAGACATGTTGGGGAGGCCAAACGGCAATTTTAGCTGAGACGTCCCACCAAAATCGGCGCGAACGGGCTCGTGAGATCAGCCAGGGTGGCTCCCCCTTGGGGCTCCCACATGATGCCCCTGGCAGCGTTTTGTGACCATGAGGCTCTCAAGAGAGACATGTTGGGGAGGCCAAACGGCAATTTTAGCTGAGACGTCCCACCAAAATCGGCGCGAACGGGCTCGTGAGATCAGCCAGGGTGGCTCCCCCTTGGGGCTCCCAAATGATGCCCCTGGCAGCGTTTTGTGACCATGAGGCTCTCAAGAGATACATGTTGGGGAGCGCCAAACGGCAATTCTAGCTGAGACGTCCCACCAAAATCGGCGCGAACGGGCTCGTGAGATCAGCCAGGGTGGCTCCCCCTTGGGGCTCCCAAATGATGCCCCTGGCAGCGTTTTGTGATCATGAGAGAGTGTGAGTGTGAGTGAATGTGACTGTGAGTGAGTCTGAGTGAGAGTGAGTCTCATCTTATCTTATCGAGTCCTATCTTATCTTACCTTTATTACCCTCTATCTTATCTTATCTTGAAATCTCTTATCTTGTCTTAGCTTATCTTATACCAACTCATCTTATCGCATCATACCTTGTCTTATCTTAATACTACATAGGCTGTCTTATCTTATATATTATCCTACCTTGTCATATATATTATCTTACATTATCATATCTTGTGCTATCTTATCTTATCTTGTAGTATCTTATATTGTCTTGTCTTATCTGGTGATTATCATTGGGAGGAGGGAGGCGCGAGCGGGAGGAAGGAGGAAGGAGTCCGCGCGTGGGAGGCGTCAGAGTAATAACAAGAACCCCAATCCTTAGGATATGGGGGATTAAACACAATCAAAAAATACAACCAACAAAGGCAAACAAATACTTAACAAATCGTCCGCAGACTATTTTTTGACTATTTTGAAATCTTCCTCCTGTAAAGAGACAGGCCCGACTTAAGGCTCGCAAAGGGCTTCAAGACTTCTGCCGTCCTTCCACTCGCGCGCGGGAGCGGCAACGCCTTGCCCCAAATGTCCAGGGAGATCTCTGGATTCCTCCGGCTTGTTACCTGGGTTTTCCCGCATGGACCTCGGGCTTCTACCTCTCGCGTTGTCTGCGTTCGGGATGGACGACTGTCTGCATCTTCCGGACTGCTGATTGGCCTGCCTCCTGGATGTAACCCCAGGAAGCATTTAAGAACCCCCCCCCCCCTTCCGCCCCCCTTCCGGCAAATCGATAACCCTTCCGCACCCTGGAAGCGTTACCTGGCACCAGGAGCCCTCCTCCTCCTCCTCCTCATCCTCCTCCTCCTCCTCCTCCTCTCCTCCACCCACGAACTTCCTCCTGCCCCCTCCTCCTCCTCCTCCTCCTCCTCCTCCTCCATTCAAGTCGTTAGGAGTCATCAAATATGCTTGCGAATATTAATACTATTATCATTGCATGAATTTTCCAAGCAGCAAGCGACATCCTGAGTCTTTCATGAGAGCCACGCAGATTTGAATTTCGAATTTTGATTGTAGCCCAGGGGCCAGGCCTCCGCGAATTTGTTGTGTGTCCGGGTGCTAAACCTATCGTGCGGTTATTTCGGCCCCTCGGAATATCGAATAAAAATGCGGTGCTAAGATATCGCCGGGGGGGTTCTTAAATGCTTCCTGGGGTTATGTAACTACTTCAATGTGTCTGGCTGTCCATGGCTTTACCTGGATGTCCATGGATTTGCCTTGACTTCTCTGGCTTGCTTCCCACAAGTCGATTGGCGAAACGTAGTCAAGCCTTGACAGGGATTTAGCGCCCGGGACGATCGGCTTTTGGGGGGCGGGGAGCTCGCCGGGGGGGCCCGCTTTCGGCCGGCGCGTCTCATCGACTCTGGCAGGTTTCTTTGCATGGTATCCCCAGGTCGGGCATGTCCTCCTACCGGCGGAGTTTGGAGGAACAGTGACAAATAGTCAAACAATAATTAGCCAAGTCTACAGAGAACGAACACAACGTCCGCCGACTCTTTCAGAACCGTTCTTGAACAGTGATTGCTCCTGTAGAGGGGCATGCCCGACTGAATGGTATAATAACCCTTCCCCCCAAGCGACGCTGGGCCGAACAGAAGGCGTGCAGACGAGTACTTTAGTAGTGGAAACAATTGGGTTTCAACATGTTTGGTCTTTAGAAGCCCTGCGTGGCGACGCCCCCGTCGCCACGCGTGCCCTCTGCGTGCCTGCGGGGGCGCCGCCACGTAGAAGTACTGGAGACCGAGCATTTGGGGCGTCGCTACGCACGCCTTCTGCGTGGCTGCGACCATTTGTGAAAACCCTAAAACACATCAAATTCACTAATAACGTACCGAGTTGCGTGAAGTGCAGACTTCCTCTCGGGCCTCGCCACAGCCCCCCCCCGCTGCCCGGTCCAGGCAGATGCTCGCCCTCGCTCGGGCGTGCGCTCCTCGTGGGAAGGCTCCGGCTTCGTGCGTGAATCTGTCGCGCAGGAGATGACCCAGCATGCTCCTCGATGGCCCTCGCCGAGAAAGAATGCACACGTCCGAGCGATGCCTACAGTCGAAAACCCGAATAAGGACGCGCGGTAAGGACGCAAGACCCTTGGAAG